TATATATATATATATATATATATATATATATATATAAAATTTCACATATTTATAGTTTTCTTCAATTCTTACGCAATTTTAACTGTTTATAAATAGTTACTGTAATTATATTTTTGTTATAAAATATTAAAAATTAAATATTTATGGGGCTTACGCCCCGTGCTTTGGGGCTTACGCTTCGCTGAGACATATGTAAAACGTCTCACCTTACGCCCACGCCTTTTAAAATACTGCCTCAAATTAAACTTGAATTTCAATTCTCACGTAATAGAGTAGCAACTAATGGTAGTAAACCTAAAAGCTATTTGCGCCGTCAATTAAACTTGAATTTTAATTCTCACATAATAGGTAATTGTGTATAGTTTATCTCTTTGTTTTGCCATCTTTAGCAACTAATGTTAGCAAACGTAAAAATGATGTGTGCCGTCAGATTAAACTTGAATTTTGGTTCTCGCTTAATAGGTGATTGTGTATACTTTTTCTCTTTGTTTTGCCATCTTTAGCAACTAATGTTAGTGAATGTACGAGCTATTTGCGCCGTTTGATTATCACAATTTCTATACTGTAATTTGGACCTTCCAATCTTATCAATTGTAGCAATTAGGGGTGACAAAATGGTTAAAAAAAAATAGTTAACCACCCATATTATCCATTAAAAAATAGGTTGGATAATTAACTTTTTAAAAACGGATCAAATATAGATAAGAACCATATTATCCATTTAGAAAATGGATAACCAATGGATAACTAATGAGTTTAATTTTTATATTTGTAAAACCTCAAATTAGGGGTTCCTCAGGTTTGGAAGACTAAGAATTCTCCCAAAAGTGATCATATTCATGAAACCATGGATAATATGGTTACCCATATTATCAATCGGTTAACCCGTTTTTTATCCGTATTAAATATGGGTCGGATCGAATAATTTATTAATTTTTTTTTTATTACCAATTTTTGACCCGTCTCATATTTGACCTGATCCGTATGTTTGCCATTCCTAGTAGCAACCATCACATTAATAAAAGTATTCCTTGAAATATACCGAAACTTCAAATTAACATGAGAAAGGAAGATAATAATTAAAGTTGAAAAGTATTTTAAAAAAAAACCAATCAATCTTAGCTTCATTCCACACGTCATTCGTCGCTTGAGCATATGCACAACCAAGTAGCTTCCTTTGAATTATTTTGACCTTGAGCATCACATGTCAAACATGACTTGACTCGTATATAACAATTATTCATTAAAAAAATCAAATTTTTTTTAGAATTAATTTTTTAAGTTATATTTGACCTCTCTATAATAACTTTTTACCTATAACAATAATATTCATATTTATAGCAGAACGCTCTTTATAAAATTACCCCTATATAACATCCATATAGAATCTTTAAAGTTACTAATAATAATTCTAAACATATGCACACAATCTTTTTCATTGCACCAAGTTTCTATTTTGCGAAGACATAAGATTTGCACATGATATCTTTTTCATTGGACAAATGCCAAAAAAAATATTTAGATAGAAGATTTAACTGTTAAGCTCTTAGATTATCTTCAAGTGAAAGTTATTGGATATCTTTTTGTTGAAATTTGAATACGAATCTTCGTCAATGCAAGCGTTATATGGCTAGTAAGAGAATGGAATCTACGAAACAAGCTACAATTACAAAGTTCTTCCATTAATATTGAAAGAATTTATTTTTCTAAGTAGCTTTAGATGTGTGCCTTAGAGTTTAAATCTTTATCATTTAGTTATGAATTTATTAATAATATATTAGCTTTCTTCAATATTTAACTAGTGAAATACGCATATCTTTTGAGATTTTAAATTTGAATAGTCATTCACTATAAAAGTCAAAAAATTTCGGAACAAACGAGGTTATTATAAAGAGGGTTGACGGTACATTGATATCTTAGAAGAGAAGTTTCTTTCAAATGAAATTTGTTACTCTTTTTTTTTCATTCAGTAATCGGTACTCGTATTAGAGTCTCGGATAATTTGAATTTACACTATACAAACTCATTAAAAAAAAAAACGCTCCATATAATATTTTCTTTTTATTCCCAAGCTCGAACCCGGACACCTCTAATTGAGAGAGAAATTGTTACGCCTTCCATAGCATTGAATATTACATAGTTTCAATTTGGAGAAATAGTTGCTTCATTCACCAGAATTTTCTTACCCTTTCTTTAATGATATTTATGTTTGTACATTATTCCTTTCTCGTTCATTTAATATCCCATCATTTGAAACTGAAATTTCTTATTTCAAATTTTAAATTTTAAATTTTAAAAACCGAAACATCTTAAATAACCATCTGAAAATCTGCTTTCCCACTTGCATGAAATTAAAGGAAAAAGGTCAAAATTGTCCTCGAACTATCGAAAATAGCTCAAATATACCCTTTATTTATTTTTTGTACCAAATTTATCCTCGCCATCTAAAATTGGACCATTATTACCCTAAAAACTAACGGCTGTCACATAAGCTTTTGGACATACTTAAATATTACGGAAAAGGGTCAAAATTGCCTTCAAACTATCGAAAATAGCTCTATTATATCCTACATTTGTGTTTGGTACCAAATATGCCCTTGCCCTAAAATCTAACGACTTTCACATCGGCTTTTGAACCTATTTAAATATTATAATCATGTTGATATGTCAGTACAACATGACAAAAAAAACCTTCTCCACACCGCAAAAACCCATTTTCTGCGAGGGGTTGCTGCATTTCCCGTGAAGGCGCAGTGAAGCACTTCAGGTGGCATGCTAGCTAGGCCAGTGAGGAGGGAAAGATTAGGTGGTGTCTAAAAAATATATCTTTTTATGAGGTTTTTGGTCTAGGCCTTATTTGCGGCCGATCTTCTTTTCTTTTCTGTTGATGAAGGCCGGAAGTGGAAGGGTATAGCATTTTAGAGGATGATCTCATTCTAATGGTTTTCGAGTTTTTTATGAGAGTTGTTTTAAAAAGATATATCTCTGCAACTAATTTGTGACTTTTTTGAGCTATGAGCTTGGATAGCGAGTCGTGGGTGTACTGTAATATGCGATTTTTGTTGTTCTTCACCATTTTTGTGATAAAATTTCTGATTTTAAGTGATAAAAGTTGGTATTTTATTTCTTGTATAGTATATTGATTTTTTTTTTTTTACAGATTTGTGAATCTTAAGAATAGTCCAACTAAATTTCTCATAATAAGATTGGTGTAACTTTAATTATTTGGAAGGAGCAACACTTAGATGAGTCAACGAATGAAAATAGAGAAAGAAATTTTATCCGTGGGTTTTTTTATCAAGATGGAGGACCGTCTGTTGGAGATAGACTTTTGTTGTTCACATGAGTTCATGTGACGGCCGTTAGTTTTTAGGGCAGTACTGGTCTAATTTTTAGACATCAAGGACATATTTGGTACCAAACACAAACGGAGGATATAATTGAGCTATTTTCGATAGTTTGAAGACAATTTTGATCCTTTTCCGTAATATTTAAATATGTCCAAAAAATGATGTGGCAGCCGTTAGTTTTCAAGGCAATAATGGTCTAATTTTTAGACGACGAGGACAAATTTGGTACCAAAAATAAAAGTTATTTTCGATAGTTCAAAGACAATTTTAACCATTTTCAGTGAAATTAATGAAAAGAAAATGATGCATGAAATTCAGACTTCTTTTTTTCACTGAATCATTCAGCGGTAAACCACCTGTGGCTCTCGGTAAAAAAGTCAGCAGTAATAATAATAAATAAATTATATTTTCAGTCCTCTCTTCCACACTCTGTGCCGAAAGTTACAGTAATAGTATTTGTTTTTGTCTTTTCGTATTTTACGAAAAAAGAAAGAAGTATTTGTATAGGATTACGATATAAGCGTTTACAGAAACAAGAAAAGGTGAAGATGAAGGAGAAAACAGAGTGAAACAGAAACAGAGAGAGAGAGAGAAATTTACTTAGCAAAAGGCTTTTAAGCTTTGCTCTGTTTCATTTGCCTTTTGTTTGCTTGTTGGGAGCTTCGTTTTGATTCACTGACTCTCTTTTTCTCCCAAAATAATTACTATTCCAGCCCATTATCCAATTTTTTTTAATCTTTTAGCCGAAATTATTACAATTACTATCTCATCACTCTTTGTTGTTTCGATCAGATCTGAAAAAGGGACTCAGAAAACAATACAAAGAAAAAGCAGTTCCCGAAGCAAAGCTGTTACTCTTTTTGAGCGAGTTTCTTTAGTTGGCTTTTCGTCAATAATTATGACAGATCATTCATTCTTCTGCATTTTCTAATCAGGTGAAATCAAGAACCTCTGACTCTCGTCTTTCTTTCATTCTTTCTCTGTGCTGTTTTAGACTCATGCAACAAGTTCTAAAGTTTTCTTTTTTCCCCTGAATCTTGCAATTCCTTTTCTTGTAGTGAACTGATTTCATATGATCGGATAGTTGAAATGTAATCACTGACTCAGAGGCTGAGCTACATAGTGTGAAGGGGTTCAATTGAATCTACTTCGCCTGAATATTATATTGTGTATATAGGTAAAAGTAAATTTCTATGTATTACGTAAATTATTGATTCTCCTTGTGAAACTTCTAGTATAGCTGTAAAATGTGGGCCACACTTGCTTTAGATTCTATGTTTGAATCACAAGTGGTGTCTAACATTTTTTTTTCAACCCTCTTGTTAGAATTCATGGCTCCGCCGGAGAGTGAGTTGTGGTTTGAAACTTATGGATTTGGGAATCTAGTCTTTTTAAGTTAACGTGTTCAAAATTAATAGTTTGTACTTTTTTAATGGATTTCTTAAGACAAATACATGATTTGGACCAAAGCTACCATGCTCGGCCGAACCTTGTAAGCTAAAGGCTAGCTACTTCCTCAATTTTTTCATGGACTTTTTGCTGCATTATGTGATCATGACATCAACTCTTATTTGAATGGTAGTAGTAAAATTGAGTTAAAATGACATTGGTAGCTAAATTTCTTCAATTTTAATTGTGTAATGGCAGTGTCTAATACGAAAGAACGCAATGGAGTCACTTGTTGATGGAATCAGCTCCTTGCCAAATGGTCACAATTCTTTCACTGCTGTTGAGTACAATACACCTTTGGCCTCCCAGATAAGTCCTCCTCCTCATCCTCCATCAATGAAACAGTCCGATTCCAGATACAAAGAGTCATCTACATCATATCCAATAGCTAAGGAACTTAGCTCCAACACAACATGTACTCCAAATGGATCAGTGACTAGTTCAAAGCATTCTTATAAAACATCCGGTGATCATATACAAACGGACAATGCCTCTGAATCGACGAGACACCATTTTGAATCAAATGAAGGGAAAAGGGAAATTCGGGTAACAGAAGATACTATCAATCAATTAGCAGAAGGTTGTTCCGGAGAGCAGTTTTTAGTCAAGGATTTACATCATGGTTCCAAGGATAGTACTTCAAAAGCTGCTGACAAAGGAGCTGGTGATACTTTAAAGATCCAGTTGCCATCTCAATCAGGAATCAGCTTTTGTCCTAGTCCTCAGAACAGCTTTTATTCCGCTACACAGTACAAAGAAGCCAGACAAAGTTTCTCAAACACAGAAGTGAGTGAATGTGTTAGCAGCACTGTGGACAAGTCTGGTGAAAGTGGTGATGTTAGTAACTCATGCGATTTCGTTGAGAGCAGAAAGACAAGCTTCAACAGAGGCAGCACGGGTAGTGACGTAAGTGAAGAAAGCAGCTCTAGTAGTCTCAATAGCGCAACATATAAACCGCATAAGGCAAATGATACAAGGTGGGATGCAATTCAAGCCATTAGAACCCGTGAGGGAACGTTGGGCTTTAACCACTTCAGACTTTTGAAGAGATTGGGATGTGGTGATATAGGAAGTGTTTTTCTAGCAGAGTTGATCGGAACAACAAGTTTCTTTGCAATGAAAGTGATGGACAAGGCAGCTCTAGAAAGTCGCAAGAAACTTGTGAGAGCTCAGACTGAAAGAGAGATACTACAGTCTTTGGATCATCCATTTCTACCAACACTGTATTCACACTTTGAAACAGATAAATTTTCCTGCTTGGTTATGGAATTCTGCCCTGGGGGGGATTTACATGCACTTAGACAAAAACAGCCAGGGAAATTTTTTCCCGAGCATGCTGCCAGGTCAGTGTTTTATATGTGTTTTTCGTATCTTATTCACTTCCTTGTTCTGTGTTCAAGATCTCCAACTATTGCTGCAATTTTAATGATAAAAGAACATTTAATGTTGTTTCCTGGATAAACCAATATGTTACCATCTGTTATGCTATTGGCAAGGTTGGCATAAGTATTCTTTCGAAAAACCTGCTATCACTATTACGCTTTAAGTGTCCTAAAATTTGGTTGAAATGGAAGTACTTTTGATCTATTACATAAGGGAGATCCTTCAAAAAGAGAAGTAAGGCCCTCAAAAATATCTTTCTTCTGATAGTTTTCTCAGCTCTATAGGAAATGAAATTTACTGTTGACTATGCTTCTTCCTGTTGTATTCTAGACCATATATATTTGTTTGCCTTAATGTATTTTCACTTAAATATGTTGCATCTCACTCCTATTCTTATTTTTTCTCAACATTGAGCTCAGACCCTTCCTGCAATGCTCACTTCATTCTTTTCTGTTGCATGTTCTTATATCTTCATTCTTTTCCTGTTGCATTTCTCCTTTTTTTGGTTTCACTTGGTTTGAAAAGGAAACTGACTGCTTTAAGGTATTACAATTTCATTTTGGTGCTGAGATAGTTGATTATAACTGAGTAGTTTCACTTAACCAAAGATAAGTTCATTCAGATGAAAGATTGAGATATCTCGTCTTTAACAATTATAAATAGTACCATGATATGCTTTTTGGTTGCGTAGCATGCACAATATTCACAGACATTGCATCCGCTGCGATCAGTGATATTACACCTTCACTTATGGTTCAAATAGTAATGATAGGTTGGAATTAGATTTCAGTTTAGTTATGATTTTTACTGTTAACTTCTCTTTTGGAGTATAGGTTTTATGTGGCTGAAGTTCTTCTTGCACTAGAGTACCTGCACATGCTTGGAATCATTTACAGAGACCTTAAACCAGAGAACGGTTTGGTACGAGAAGATGGTCATATAATGCTTTCTGATTTTGACCTCTCCTTGAGGTGTGCTGTTAGCCCAACTTTAGTTAGATCCTCAAATTCAAGCTTAGAGTCCAAGAGCTCATCATACTGTATCCAGCCATCTTGTGTCGTACAGCCTGCATGTATCCAACCTTCATGTTTTACACCGCGTTTCCTAAGCAAGCCCAAGAAAGAAAAGAAGTCCAAACCAAAGACTGAAATATACAACCAAGTGAACCACCCTCTTCCAGAACTCCTTGCTGAACCAACGAGTGCTCGATCTATGTCTTTCGTGGGGACACATGAGTACCTGGCACCAGAAATTATTAAAGGTGAAGGACATGGTAGTGCTGTAGATTGGTGGACATTCGGGATCTTTCTCTACGAACTCTTGTTTGGACAAACTCCGTTCAAGGGAGCAGGCAACAGGGCGACGTTGTTTAACGTTGTTGGTCAGCCCTTGAGATTTCCTGAAACACCTACTGTTAGTTTTGCTGCAAGGGATTTGATAAGAGGTTTACTTGTGAAGGAGCCACAGCATCGCCTTGCATACAGGCGCGGGGCAACTGAAATAAAACAACATCCTTTCTTTCAGAACGTAAACTGGGCACTCATACGATGTGCTAGTCCTCCAGACGTACCCAGACCGTGCATGACATATGATATGCCCCGAACACCACCAGCAGGAAAGGTGGCAGGTGTTGATGTGAAACCTTCAGGTAATTATTTCGAGATTGATTTCTTCTGAGTAATTCTTTTCCTTGGCAGCAATGTCCCGTTGCACTTATACGAAGAGCCAGCCACGTTGAAGAAACACCTGTTTTTGTGTTCATTTGATTATGCAAATGTAAAGTGCAGACTCTGTTGAAATGCAAATGCAAATTGGATGTTGAAGGCCATTTTTCCTTGCACAATTTTTCAGAATTCGAACTTATACAACTTGGAACAACTGCTTTATGTCCAAGGTTAAGTATGTTGTTAATATTAATGAAGTAGGCCTTGATGTGAAAAATAATGTGGCTATAAAACTAGGCATTACTGGATGTGATGTTTCAAAGTTTACTACTGAAGAACCAATAGATGATGTATAATTGTAATAGTCTAGTCCACTAGTACTATTGTCCGCTTTGGGTTTAGGCCCGCACGGCTTTAAAAAGTGTTACTAGAGTAAACCCAACATCTCTCCCGTGTTTCTTTATGTAGGATTCGCCTAGAGTGTCACAACAATGAACCTGTCGATGAAAGGGACGGTAAATACTTGTTTAAATTGGCAAAACTGTGAAAAATCTTGGGTAATTATTGTATATCTTTCAGCGAATCAGCTAGGAGCAAGACTACTGCAAGTGCCCATCAGGAGAAGTGGCAATTTTAGTCTCCCTTTTTTATTGACCATTTGTCTTAATTGTTCAATACTGAACAAATATAGCCCATTAAGCATACAAATAAAGAAACTTTTGGTCAAATCTAACAAAACTTAAATGGATTTTGTTCCAAAGGAAATGACTGGTCAGGCATAATAACATGCACAAATACCTTAAAGAAAAGAACACTTTGCTCTAAATATGAAAAAGGACAACAAACAAATACTTTGAATAAAAAAGAAACACAATCTAGTAGAATAAAGAATGATGAATGGTTTATTCAGTTGTATGTAAAATGAGACTAGACAAAAATACGAAGCGATCCTACCATAACAAGGAGCTATCCCACCATTACTTTCGACAATCACGGCCGCAAAAATTCATGAATTTGAATCTCTAATTTTCTTATGTTAAGGGGATTCAAAAATTTATAAATAAACAGGAAAATTTATTTTTACCTTATATTAGCATTATAATTTTTTCCCTATGGTCAATTGATTTATGATCAATTACATATTTTAGTTTTGTCACATTTTCCAAGAGATCTTTATTTTTTTATATAAAAGTTTTAAAAGTAAAATATATGAGATCTTTGCAGCGTAACTTTCTTTTATTGAAATTGTAAAAGGTATTGTTAAATTTATCTTCTCTCAATGTACTGTTATAATTAGGGGTGTTGCATAAAAATCCGAAAAATCGAACCAAACTGACCAAAAAAACCGATACTTTTTAGGTTTGATTTGGTTTTGGTTTTGAATTTTAAAAATCGGTCAAATTTGGTTTGGTTTTGGTTTTAATCAAAAAATAACCGAAAACCCGAACCAAACTGACTATAGAAGTAGTTATTTAAATTTATTATTACACCTGTATATATGAATATTTTTATATAAAGTTTCTAAAACTTTATGGTATATATTAGTCATTTATATTTTTAGTCTAGTTTTTTGCTATTATAATAATCTAATTCTTTGCCTTTACAGTTTACATTCTAGTTTGATTGATAATTTTCTTTTGCTAACAATAACAACAACCCAGTATAATCTCACAAGTGGGGTGTGAGTTTCTTTTGCTAAATACAAGAATTTATTTCATGTTAAAAATAATTATTTTTTAATTGAGTACTTAAATTATTCATCATTATTTGATTCAATTATCATCAATATATCTTAGTAAATGATAGATTTCTCAAAGAGCAATTGGTTTGATAGTGTTACTCTGTTACGTTAAAAATGTAGTCTCCGAAATATGTGTTTGGTAGTGTATGTCTCATATTTAAGAAAAAACCGAAAAAATAAAAAACAGACCAAAACCGACAAAAACCGAATCGATAAAAAAATGACTTAATTGGTTTGGTTTGGTTTGGTTTGGTTTTAATATTTGAAGAAGCGGCTTACTTGGTTTGATTTCTTTTTAGGAAAAAATCGATCCAAACCAAACCATGAACAACTCTAGTTATTATAATAATAATGAATACAAAAGACTATACGTGTCAGTCCGAAAGAGGAACAAACAGAAAAATAACAATATATAAAGAAACACAAAAATAACTAACTCCAAACTTATGGGACTATAATGAGCACTTTTTGTTAATTTTTAATACGGAAATGGAACGTGTCACTCACGATCCACCGGTCGTTGTCAACGATATTATTTCATTTCCTCTTAAATCCCAATTCAGTCTCTGTCTTGGAAGGCTTCCCTCAAATGCCTTTTAAACATCTACGGCATTCTCTCTCCTCAATCACATTTTACTTGCACTTCTCTCCAACAATCTCTCCAAAACCCTTCTTCACTCGCTTCTCTGCTGTAATCCTATCTCACGCGATGGCCGGAACACCGGAAAACTTCTCCACCGACGCTACTACTCCCGCCGTCGCCGAAGCCGACGATGTCAAGTTTGGGTTTCAGCGTGCGGAGATGTACCGGAGTAACCTTGCCGGTACTGCTACTTCCTACGATCGTCATCTGTTCCTCTGCTACAAATCTCACGAGACTTGGCCTTCTCGCGTCGAAGCCGCTGATTCCGATCTGCTTCCGAAGTTACTCTCTAATGCTCTTATAGCTCGTAAGGATGATATTACAATTAAGGTTAGTTAATAACCTAAACTGATTACTTTAGTTAACGGCTCTACGAGAAACTTCTAGACTCAAATTAAAAGTGAGGCGGATGCCGTTCGCCTAATTGATATGCCACGTAATAGGTGGATATTAGCTTTCTAAGTGTGTCACTGGAATAATGATTTTGTTTTTTTTGTGTCCTGTAATTATTTTTACAGCGGGATTGATAGAGCGAATTTAACTAATTTGAGATTGAGGTGTAGTTGATTGATTGATATTGATCGATTGATTATTTTCGGTGATTGTTTGTTGTAGACTATTTTGACGATATGCGAAGTACGTGATGACATGGAAGTATCAGATGGAGATGTTTTGATTTTTCCTGAAATGATCAAATACAGGTAGTTTATTTGTTTGTTCATTTTAAATTCATTTACTTTCAAATTTGGCATTGAGCAGCAGAAAGCTGATATTCCTTGATATTCCATGTATAATGGGATGAATGAAAACATTACTTAATTGTAAAACAAGAAATGAGAAATAAGCATTCATGAATTTGACTCGATTCTATTAGCTGGATCCCAGCTTTTTTATATCAGAAGAAAGCGGTTTTGATGTAGGTAGATACCGCATTGAAGTTGTCCGCATGGCTTCGTTCAAGTGGCAAAGGTTGAGGGACTTGTGACTTAGATTAATGGTTCGGTCCTGCATCATGCGGACTAAGCCTAGTATTTAAGTGGGAACGGGTAGAGGGGCTGGCCAATTATCCCCAAGTTTCGGAGGCTGCTGGATCCTAAGGGTTGGCCCCAGACAGATTCCTCGGCCATCTAAAAGCAAAAGATACTGCACTGAAGTTGCTTTTTACTTTACATGCTTTTTCTTTGGTTGCTTCAATATGTCGATCTCAACTTGTATGCTTCGTCCCAATCAATTCTGTCTCATGGTCAATATTCACGTCTTTTGTCTATGATGAAGGGATTTGAAGGAGTCGGATGTGGATGCATTTGTTGATGATGTGCTTGTCAATGGAAATCCTTGGAGCTCTGGATTGCAGGAGTCGCTGAGTGGTTCTTATGTGTTTGTCTGTGCCCATAATAATCGAGATAAAAGATGTGGTGTTTGTGGACCAATTCTGATTGAGGAGTTTGGCAAGGCGATTGAGTCCAAGGGCTCGAAAGACAAAGTTTATGTGACAGCTTGTTCCCATATTGGTGGACACAAGTATGCTGGTAATGTCATAATCTTCAGTCCGGACAAAGATGGGAAAATTGTTGGTCACTGGTAAGTCCTATTCTTCTCTTATAAAGGAAGACCTGGATGTTGTTTTAGCACTAGACTCCAGATCAATTTGTACTATAATAAGGGTAGTTCATGCATTTTTTAAAAATCTTTTACCTTGGATAACTATTACTATAGCTAAGTTTTTTTGTATTTGGTTGGATGTAAAGGTATTTCACATATGATAATTGTAGAAGGTGAGAGAGGGGGCAAGGGGGATGGTGTTCTGGTGATATTTTTGAGTGCTAAATTGACACTATTATTTACATATTGGTTGAAGCAAGTGAAATAAATTAAGAGTTGTGATACTTTAGAGGAATGGTCAATTTTTCCCATTCAGTTCAAAACATTTCCGTTGTGAAAAGATGTTGAACAATTTAAGCCAACGTGGAAAATGAATTCATAAAGAAATATACACTTCCTAGTTTCTAAGCAGCACGTTAAGGGTCAAATAAAGAAGCTTTGCATTAGACTGTCCATTACAGACATGTTATATGTGCTCTGTGCTGCCTTAATGTAGGTATGGCTATGTTGCACCAGATGATGTACCTGTTTTGCTTGATGAGCATATTGGAGAGGGAAAAGTCATTGAACGACTTTGGAGGTTTGTATTGGTTGTCCTTTCCTTTGTTTCACTTTTGCATGCTTTGCTGTTTTTTTGCCACATGGTGCAAGTTGCAACTTTTCTGTTTGGCTTTTGGAAGATTGGCCCTTGGCTGCTTGAGGAAATATCATGATGTTTCCATGGTCTAAAACTCTAGCAAGATAAATCTTGTTTTTCAACTGTGAGCTTGTGCTCAGTGTACTCTTTAACTATGCGATTTGCTCATACCTATATCATTTTTTGAGGGAGCAGCAGTTGCTTCCTTTTCCTTTGAGGTGGAGCAGGGGAACAATGTTAATACTCTCTCAGTATCACTCACTTACTCAGTCCTCTACTACTAAATTGATCACTTAAGCTCTTGTCATTATTCTAGATGTTGTCTATAGAAATGGATTCAAGAACCCACCTGTTCCAATTTGCTTTGCAGTTTCCGCATGAAACCAGTCACCATGATTCTTTCCATTACTACAGTTAAACTAACCACCAAACTGAAGTGTTATGTGTTCCATACCTCCACGTCTTCTATTTTCCCTAAGCAAATTTCACAACACTAAGAAGTGAGTTTAAGATGTATAGCTGCCTCATTTTGTTCCTATTGCTGACTTTTGCATAAAAGGCTATCATAAGACAATTAATGGAGATACGACTATCGCAAGACAATATAGATCATTTAATGATTGCTTCCATAAAAGAGAAGTTTCATTAATTAACAAAAGGTTGTCAACACTTAACTATAGAAACAAAAAATAACAAAAGGTTGTCTCTTATCAAATTAGGAAGAAATGGTTGTTAGTAGAGCATAAAGGGTATCAGAAGATGATGGATCCCAGGTTATGGGGATCTATGTTTGTCTGTCCCTACTTATTTGGTTGGTGTGCGGTGCCATGCTTAGTGTCGATTTTAAGACTGGAAAGCTTTTGGTGGTTGACTGTTCGGAAAACTTGTTTACTTTTGCTATCTAATTAGGTCATAGCGTGGCAAAGCTTATTCCTTTCAATACTAGTTTTGGACTAGTGGTAAGGTGATCCGTTTCAATTTCAGAAAGGGGATTTTCTTGGGTTAAGAGTGTTATCACTTAGACATTGTGTAAACGGAAGATTTTCCCATTATCAATAAAATTATTTGCATTATCAAAAAAAATCTCTTGGACATTGTTTGTTGATGGTATTATATGTATATCCCATATAATGGGCCACCTAATTTCAGAAACACGCAGCTTATTCCTTAGACTGCATCTCTTGATCATTATGTGGTCAGGAGGGAGACATGTTACTTCTTAAATATTTGTCAGTTAATAAGAGTTATTCTTGTTTAAACAGTCAAATAGTCCTTGTATGAGGCCATATTGTCTTAGTCAGTTCCATATGCTGGATGCGCCTCCACTATGATTGGACCAGTTTCTACGAGGACTTCTTGGGGGAGCCACACCCCTTTATTAGGCCTAATTGCCTCAATGCGGTCATAATATTTGCAAAATCTGATGGTTTGGTTGACCTACATCATGCTTCTTGGACCTCTAAATTTAATCGTCTCTTAAGTTTCGGATGGAGGAAATTCTTTAGCACACTTGCGAAGCTGAATTTGCTTTGCTTTTATTCTAATTGCTGTAATCACAGATCTGATACACTCTACTCTGGTCTTCTGTAGGGGCCAAATGGGACAATATGAGAAGGTAACTGAGAAAGTGAATGAACAGAGGGTTCCGGAAGTAACCAATGAAGAAAAGAAGCCTCTAGAAAATGGAAGCCAGGAGAGTGTAACTGGTTTCAGCTGTTGCCAAGGTGCTGCAGGAGTTTCTTGTTGTAGAGATGCAAGTGCTGAACAGAAAGAGAGTAAGAAGGGGCAGGGAAGAGTTTCAAACTGGTTCGGCAAATGGGAGCAGCGTGAAGTTCTCACAGCCGTGGGAGTGGTTGGAGCAGTGGCTGTTGTTGCTGTGGCTTATGGCTTTTATAAGAAGGCTCGGTGAAATGTCATTGTCTCATTGTTCACTTAGCATCAACTTGGCGCTCAAGAGTTTGCAGGATCTAGTTTTTGTAGAAAGGTAATAATGTTCGTTATAATCTCGAACCATGATATTGCATACATATTGGTATACGTTAAATCTAAGAGTGGAAATGTAATGCAAAGTGTAATTCCACTATGGAGATGAGTTCCTTTGCTCATTCCCAACAAGAACCTAGAAAGGCCGTTAAATATAAAGTGCCAACTGATAGCTACAGGTACCCTTACCATACAGAGATTCTTTAAATTCCAGATGCCGTGGTGGTTTTTATTTCTCCTTGCTTGGATTCAAGGGTGAATGAGATCAATATGGTTTTGTTAGGTTCTCTATCTTAAGTTGGTAGATTCATTACTTCTCTGGAGGCTGGGCTGGAGTGCAGCTTCCGAGTCGTTATGGGCAACTTTTACTTTTTTTCTTCTTCTTGTGAAACAGGGTGATATAGTTTCTTCAGCCTATGCCCTTTGACCACTTTGGAAACGACTCGGAATACTTCTTCTTGATGAATAGTTAGCAAATAGTAGTGATATGTCTGGTCTAAGAAATTTTTGACAGATTTATTTTGTTAACAGTTGCTGAATGTTACAACCTACAAGTGCGTTTATAGGAGGTTTGGCAGATATAGTAAACTTTAGGCATCTTTTTCATCTCAACTGCCCACCTTTGGGAATTGGAAATGACAGAATTCTTCCTCTTCGTATGCATTTCTGGTTAAATAATTGATGGAATATTTGACAAATAAAGAAAGAATCTTTGTTCAATATATGGCAACATGTGAATTTTGCCACCGTAGTTTCAAAGAAGACATCTTATGTAAACCGAAATGAAAACCACGCAAACATGCACAATTTAATCTACTTGTCCAATATGTGCGTTACAAGCTCACCATCCGGCAAACAAGCGTTTTGAGTTAAAATTTTCCACAACCACAACCCTTCCATAAACATCACCGAAAGTATAAAAAAGAATTATCATTACTGAAAAGAGGTTAATCTTATGGACTTTCAGCAAATACTTGCCACAATTCGCTAGACCTATTAATCTGCATTCATGTAGCGTTAAGTCCACTAAAAAGGGAGCTGCATCCTACCAGGAATTTCTCGATTCTGAGGGCTCAAACACTAAGAACCTTCAGTTAAGGTGGAAGGATCTCGTCCACTAGCTCAACCTTTGACTTGAGCATATACTTGTTGACATGATTGTTATTGAAGCGACAAAGATGCAGGACAGTTGAGCAACTGATTTCTGAACTCACTTGTTTCCTGTGCAATCTGTATGAATATCCTGGATCTGTTGATACTATAGCAGTCATTGACTAGTAAGCTATGTACTTGATACCGACATCCAGAGATACTTAAACCATATCCAAATGCGGAGAACATACTTGAGCAGATGTCGTTTGTCTCAAACTTCTGAAAATATGAAACACTTTCAGCATGATTCAGCATAATGTTTAAATTAGGATCATGGCCTGCCTCTCCCATTCTGCCTCTAAATTTCTTAGGAATCAATAGATGTGCTCTTAAGTCTCAGAAATTTCTTAGGAATCAATAGATGTGCTCTTAAGTCTCAGTCGTATCCCTTATTCGCTAAAAAGAACTGGACCTCATTCCTAAAGTCTAACAACACTTTGGCCAGTTATCTTTTTCAATTGTTTCTCTTTAATTGAACTTCTAAGTCCAGCTGCATCATCCCACTTCCCATCAACAGCATACATATTTGATAACAGGATATAATATCCTGCATGAACTGGATCTAACTGGAGAAGATTCCTGGCAGCGACTTCTCCAATCTCTGCATTCTGATGAATCTTGCAGGCACCAAGCAATGCGCCCCATACGTGTGCTCCAACCTGTGAATGCATTTGGTTAATAAAGCATATTGCCTTGTCCAATTCTCCAGTTCGTCCGAGTAAATCAACAATGATTGCATAATGCTTTGACTCTGGCATCATTTGGTATTCATTTAACATCATGTTGAAAAATTCAATTCCTTCCTCAACAAGACCTGCATGACTACAGGCTGCTAAAATTGAAAGGAAGGTAACTTTGTTCGGCCCAACTGAGGAATCTCTAACCATACGACGAAATAACTTAATCGATTCCTTAGCTTGCCCATGAATTCCATAGCCTGCAAACATGGAGCTCCAGACAACAATATCCTTATCATCTGCTAATCCTTCAAAAACATTGACAGCCTCCCCCAAGCTACCACATTTTGCATAACATTCAATAAGTGAAGCCCTGACGAAAGAATTGCTGAAGAAACCACCTCTAATTACATGACCATGAAGACAAGAAGTCAAATGAGTAATCCCCAACTCAGAACAAGCTACGAGAATTTTAACCATCACAGTAGCATCAGGTTGGATATCACTAGCCGTCATATCACAAAAGATTTGCATCGACTTGTAGAACATTCCATTTTGAACACAACCACATAACAAAGCAAACCAAGAAACAACATCTTTGTTCAGCATCCTATCGAATACCATACTCGCTTCCTTAGGTGAACAACAGCTCATGTACATATCAATCAAAGCCGTGGAAACCAATATGTCTAGTTCAAGACCTTTCTGAAAAGCTAGTTCATGTATTTGCCTGCCCTTTTCTAAATTACAACAAGCTTCACACGCTTGTAAAGCACTGATCACGCAAACTGAGTTGGGTTCAACTCCTTTGTGTATCATCTCATCAAAAAGACTTATTGCTCTATCAGTAGCACCATTATGAGCACAACAAGAAATTATACAACTCCAAGAAATTACATCTATTTCTTCCATCATTCTAAACAGATTTCCTGCGTACTCTATGGACCCAGTTTTCGCATATAAATTCAGCAAAGAGTTCAATAAAGGCAGGGGAATTTCAGAACCCATTCTAATTACAAGCCCATGAACACTTTTTCCAGCTTTTAAATTCAGCACCTGAGTACAAGCAGAAACAACAGTGACAAGAGTCACTGGATCTGGACTAATGCCACGTGTCATCATCATTCCAGTAAAAACAGCTAATGCTTCATCAGGCTTAAAGCTTTGCTCATAACCAGTAACCAATGTAGTCCACAAAACAAGATCAGGCTTTGTATATTCCTCAAAGACGCGCAAAGCGTCGTCCATATCTCCACATTTTGAGTAAAACTCAATGAGGGCCGAGCCAAGAAACATGTTTGAATGAATGTTACCATGTTTTATCCCGAAGCCATGAATCGTTTTGCCAAAATTTAGTGTTTTTAATGCTGAGCACGCCTTTAATGCAAAAAGTAATGTGAAATGATCAGGCTTTTGGAATGACAACATAGATGAAAAGAGAGACAGTACTTCCCCATATCGTTTTTTTCCACAAAAGCGTTGTAGAATGCGATTGCAGGTGGCTGCACTTGGGTGAGGAATTTCATCAAACACTTTACGGGCAGTTTGAACAGGTAACAATTCAAAATAGAGCTCAGTCAGTTTAGCGGCGAAGTGAGTGTCGTGATTTAGTCCAGTTCTTATGGTTAGAGAATGCAATTGGGTCAGCAATTTGGCTGTTGTACATACTCTGACAAGCTTCAACACAATTTCCCGTGATCTCATATATAGCAAAAGAAAAACGGTTAAATGAAATAGGCAGAGTTACGCCATACTTTTATTAGCGAAATGTTGCAAATACATTGTTGCAGAAGAGTATGTTCCTCTAGCGGTGAGCACCCTCCACTTTCGATCAAAATGTTGTGATTTCGAGTCACCCAAGAGCAAGGTGGGGAGTTCTTAGAGGGAAGAAGTCGGGGTCTATCGAAAACAACTTCTCTATCCAGGGTAGGGGTAAGATCTGCGTACACACTAAAAAAAAAAAATTTAAAAAAAAAAAAAATACCCCCTAAACTTGACACTTTGAGCGTACCCCCTAAACTTGATACTTTGTAATGAGCGTACCCCCTAAACTTGACACTTTTTAATGAGCGTACATCTTAACTATACGTGATTTTAATTACCCACTACGCTTACTTTTTCGGATGTTATTATCCTCCTAACCTAATAAACCTTTCTATCGTGAATACACGCGTTGTATACATATAAATGCTTGCTGATGTGACTGTACACGCTGGAATAATTCGGGTATCCAATTAGAATACCCGACTCGCCTTTAAAATTAATCCCTCAAATTTAACCCATCCCTTTTACCATCAGTTCATTTGGTCGATAACATAAAAAAATTAGGGTTTCTCACCACTTCACTCCCATCAATGATAGAGACGATTGTGAGTGCTTGAGCTTGATTTTGTGAGTCGATAGGGTTCTCCGTTGAGGTGCTGCTAAAAGCTACTGTGGAGGAGCTAAAAGCTACTGGGTTTCTTTGATTCTCGCCAAAATTTCTATTGTTTTCACTCCGCATTTGAAGGTATGTGTGCCTCTTTCTGTTAGGGTTAAATCAAGGCTTTTATTTTTATCTGATGATTTTTGCATGCATGCCGATTAGGGTTAAATCAGGGCTTTTATGTTGTTTGTTAATTTATTACTGTTTATTTGTAATCTTTTGTATATGTATGTCTTAAGAGTTGTTTTTTACTTTTTTTTTATTGCTGTGTAGGGTCCCATGGATACTAAGTATTTGAATTTAAGATGAAAAATTGGTGGGATATTGGTGAGTGAGGTAGGACCTATATATGTTGGGGGTAGGGTTGAACATGTGACTAATGTCGACTTTGATCACTTGTCAATACCAGAGTTACCTAATTATGCTAAGAATTTTGGGATTACAAAGTTAGAAAAAACTTATATTATGAGTGCTAAGGGTGGCAATTTGGTTGAATTAACAAAAGATAAGGATTTAATGGACCTTGCAATGTTATTAAACAATGGGGACACAATAGACATTTTTGTCTCTTCTGACTCATAATTTGAGGAGGTGGATGCTATAGAGGGTAGCCAAATAAGCCATGTGGGTGAGCCTTTTAATGCATCTTCCAGCACACAACAAGACAATAGGGAATCTTTTGTTCCCTGTGGTCCTCCTTTAAATACTACTGCTGCAAATCCAGATCTAGGGTTACCTACTCCTTTGAATACCACTCAAGAAGAGGATTCACCCATAGATTGGACTTCCTCTTCAGAGGAAAAAGAATTTGCTGATGATGATGATGCAGAGGACACTGCTGCTCATTCTCAACAGGTAGAACCTGCTGGAGAAGAAGAAAAAATAGCATCTGGTGATGAATTTGAGAGGTCATTTGATTATGGAAGTGATGTCCATGAAGAGTTGAGGGTTGTTAAAGAAGATCTGAAGAAATATAGACAAGACAATAGGGAATATTTTGTTCCCTGTGGTCCTCCTTTAAATACTACTGCTGCAAATCCAGATCTAGGGTTACCTACTCCTTTGAATACCACTCAAGAAGAGGATTCACCCATAGATTGGACTTCCTCTTCAGAGGAAGAAGAATCTGCTGTTGTTGATGATGTAGAGGACACTGCTGCTGATTCTCAACAGGTAGAACCTGCTGGAGAAGAAGAAAAAATAGCATCTGGTGATGAATCTGAGAGGTTATTTGATTATGGAAGTGATGTCCATGAAGAGCTGAGGGTTGTTAAAGAAGATCTGGAGAAATATAGATAAAAGAATAGGAGAAAACTTAGGAAGGAAAAACCTGATGGATTTTTAGGTGAAGTTGGAGTTGATGAAAGTTATGAGAACATAGATCAGCCCCAAAAAAATATGAGAGACAAATTAGGAGGTGGTGATGAGCCTTACTATGATAGTTCAGATCCAGATAGTTTTGAATCTGAAAGGTTTATACATGCCCTTTAATTGATTCTACCCATGTTACTGGTGATATTGGATATAAGCCTTCTAAAGGTTTGAAATGGAAAGGGAAGGAAGCTGTGACTCAAAGACAACTTCAAGTCCAAGCTGTAATGGCTAGAATCAAGACTAGGTCCCAATCCGCTGGAATACAAACAAGATCTAAAGTTATGGGGAAATCTCCCTCCAAGAAGACCACTTGAATTTCTTTACTGTTTGGATGTAGTATTTGATATACTAGACTTCTTTTTTGTTGATTTCATGGGGTGACTGTTTTAGTTGAATTCATGGGGTATCTATTTTTTGTGGATACTGATGGTAGTACGCAACTTTATTTTGTGCACTTATTTGTCATGTGTATGCCTAGCTGTATATGGATAGCATAGTTTAACTCTATTGTTTGATGTTAAATTTTGACTTTCTTTGTCAAATTACCAGTTATGTTGACAAAATGTTGTGATTGTGATCGGTTGTTTTTATGGATACTGATGGTTATTTTTATATAATTTGTGATTGGCATCAATTTCATATGTTGATAAAATGTTGACATAGTAGTGTCAAACAACATATCATATTGCTTAACTTCTATTACATACTACCAGATAATCATTATTTGTACATGAGCAAAATCAGTTTCCAAAGTAAACTGAAAAATAATAGAAATTTTAGCATTCTTTCCATTTTCGATAGTTTGTTAGTCTTCTTCAACAACCCAGAAATAATAATGTTTGCTTGCTCCGGAAATGGAGGTTCATACCACTGAAAAATCGACAAGAATTTATCTTCGGATAAAGACTATATCCAAAGAATCGTCGTCGAGGATTTGCAGTAGTCCATGCAACTTTTAAAGGAGCTGGCTTGCCACATCTACAAAAAATATTCATCTTCTTTCTTCCAAGTAAAAAAATGGTTGTTATTTGGGCAAAAAAAAAAGAGCCAAAATCTGGGGGGATGGAATTTGGATGGACAAAGAATGTGAGAACAAAGAAAATGCTGAAGAATTAGAAAGAAGACAATAAATAGGGGTGAGAATGGGGTTGTTACCGTTGGGGTCTTCATTTTTGGGGGAAAATGCATTTATTATCGTTAGGGATGGTTCTAGGATTGGGAAAGGGAAATATTCAACTGATGTGGTAAAAAATATACTCCCCTACGCGCACTCAGCCATTTGAATCAATTTTCACTACTATGTGGCAGGTTAGGGGGGTAATAATATCCGAAAAATAAGCATAGGGGGGTAATTAAAATCACGTATAGTTAAGGTGTGCGCTCATTAAAAAGTGTCAAGTTCGGGGGGTCTTTACCTATTCTACCTATATATATACTCAAGTTTAATCATGAGATATTTTTACTTACATATAATACATTGTCCAAGCTGATATTAATGAGTGCAATTGCATAGTGTTGGATTTGTCCATGCCATATATAATAGATCCAAGGCAAGAGAGAATATATTTTGTGCTCTAGAAAGAAGGAATTCCTAGATGTAGTATAATATGGTTCCCTATTTATTTTAAAAAAATTATATCTCCTTTGATTTCAATCTCCATTGCTCATTGCAAGTGTAATTTGGATGTAATATGCAGTTATTCTCCAACCCAATACCTTAAGGTAGTGGGTGGAGTGACCTATGACCTAATAAATCTTTTTTGAATTTTTTGCACAACTAATGACGGACAAGTATACAACAACAATAACAACGACCCAGTAAAATCTCACTAGTGGGGTCTGGGCAGGGTAGTGTGTACGCAGATCTTACCCTACCCCGAGGGAGTATAGAGACTATTTCCGAAAGACCCTCGGCTCAAGAAGACGAAAAGAGACAATATTAGTATCACCAATAGAAACCATAGGAAAAATAATATCATGGAAATGTGAAAGTAGATGCAAAGCAAACGCAATAGACAGTACATAGACACGACACTGGTAAACAAAGGAGTAGTAAGACATAACAATGCCACTAGCTGATATCGACAAAAACCCTACCAGACTAGCCTCACAAAGGTACGAAGTAAGGAAGACTCAACTATCTCCTAACCTACAACCCTAATACTCGACCTGCACAACTTCCTATCAAGAGGCATTCTTCGAAAATTTGAAGCCTCGCCATGTCCTGCCTGATCACCTCTCCCCAATACTTCTTAGGTCGTCCTCTACCTCTTTTCGTGCCCTCCAAAGCCAGCCGCTCACACCTCCTTACCGGAGCATCTGGGCTTCTTTTGTACGTGTCCGAACCATATGAGCCTCGCTTCCCGCATCTTGTCATCAATGGGAGCCACATCCACCTTCTCTCGAATATCTTCATTCCTAATCTTATCCATCCTAGTATGTCCGCACATCCACCTCAACATCCTCATTTCTGCTAATTTCATCTTCTGGATATGTGAGTTCTTAACAGGCCAACACTCAACCCCATACGTCATGGCCGGTCTAACCACCGCTTTGTAAAACTTATCTTTGAGTATCGGTGGCACTCTCTTATCACACAAGACTCCAGATGCTAACCTCCACTTCATTCACCCCACTCCAATACGTGTGTGACATCCTCGTCAATCTCCCCTCCCTTCCCCTCTGGATAACCGACCCAAGGTACTTGAAATTGCCATTACTTGGTATGACCTGTGAAGCCTCACTTCCACGCCCACTTCCCTCGATCAGTGCTGAACTTACACTCGAGGTATTCCGTCTTCATCCTGCTCTTCTTGAAACCCTTAGACTCAAGGGCCTGTCTCGAGACCTCGTTAATACTGGTTCGCGACTCATCAACCTCTTGTTAACGACGGACAAGTATATTCTCTAATATTTTCCAACACGTGTAACTCGATTCTTGTATTTACACGTGAACTGAGTATTTTTTGTTGTTGTTGAGATCAAATTTAAGAGCGGACATGATGTATAGCCTAACCCTCCACCATAATGGTGGATGTTTCAATTAAAAAATAAAAAATAAAAAATAAAAGTAAGCTGGAAGCTAAGAACTAAGGAGTGGGCTTGGAGCAAAGTTTTGTGGTTTGATGGACTGAATTGTAAGAGAGAAGAAACCAAAAGCGACTCGATTTAGCTGAATTTGGAGAGTTATCAAAGTTTCCCTCTAATACCCTAGGAATATTTTTGAATATCCAATTCAAAATCTTAAGGTAAAGGGGCACATAATATTATAAACTCATCATTATTTTTGTGTGTACTAAATCAGGTTCCCATATTATGTTATGCACGCTACAGATGCTACGCTTGAGTATACTAGAGCATCGTAAGATCCCATATTGATTGAAATTTTTTATATAATTTTGAGCAATCCTCGTTCGCATGAGTTAATTTTTGGGGTGAGCTGAGGCCATACAAGGTCCATTTTATTAAGAAAACATGCTCTATGTGGATTCTACTGCTATTGAAATGCACATGCACTGTCATCCTTCCACAAGGCACAAGTTGTCATATAATTTCCTGACTTAAGAGTTAAGAGTAGTATGATTGCAAGTCTTTCTTTGTTAGATTAAAGAAAGAAGACTTAGCAAGTAATTCTTTTTTTGGATTAATGAAAGAAGACTACTTAGCAAGTCATTCTTTCTTGGATTAAAGAAAAAAGACTTGTTCTGAAGTGATATAAAAAAGAATGACTTGAAATATTCTTTTTCCCGAAGATGACTTGAAATAACAGTGCTCAACTGCTCTCCCAAGTCCCAAGTCAAGAGATGAGATTAAGTAACCATAACTTGTAATTGTGGGAAAGTAATCATGATTACTTATCAATGGGAAATACGTGAAAAAGAATTACTTCTAATTACACCCCAAACTTTGTTAAAAGTCGAGAAATGAGATTAAGAAGTAATCTTAATCTATTTTGTGGAAAATTTAATGAAGTTGGACATCCCCAAAAACCAAACTTGGCAAATAAAAGTTGAATAAAAACTTCTCATACTTTTGATTTATTTATTTTTTTGTAAAAAAAAAAAAAAAAAGCATAGAGGTGCCTTCAGCGTGCAAGATTCCCTAAAAAGTCTTGACATTGATTAAAAAAAAGTTAAGTATTTAATTAATCATTTAAATATTGACATGATGTAACGACTTATTGGATGCTTAATTACTAGAGATATAACCGTTTATTTCGGCGACATGTTCATGAATCATGATAATAGAAAGCTAAGTTGTCGAAATGAGCTCCAAATTAATTAATATCTTAACAGAGGGCATTAGATCTTAGTTTTACTCAAATAACTATATATACACTCTTCCATTCTCATTCAGTAATCCAATGTTGTGTTAATATGGCTAGTGGAAAAGAATTGCTCAAATTTGGCATAATTTTCACCATTCTCTTTATAGCAACTTCTGGTATGTGACTATATCACTTTTTATCAAGTTTTGTAATTGTACTCCTTATGATTTTATTTTGGCTAAAATTATGATATGCAGTTAAAAATTCTTGCTCTTCAAGAGTATCTCAAGTGCTGGCTTTCCAAAAGGTGCCATCAAATATGATGATGAGTGTTTACTCGAAATAAATTTATGCGTGGTATAACTTGATACAAATTGAGAAAGATAAATAAATGAATATTGAAATTAGTCATAAAAGAAATGAATTCAAACTGAATGAATCAGTTAGCCTAAACCTTCAAGTTGGACAGAGAGTAATTGATAGGAGAACAATATAACTAAATATCAAAGCCAGAGAAGAATGGTGTATTCCTTTGTGTTCTATGAATCTTAATGAATCTGCCAGCTTACAAATGATAACAGCCCATAATATAGTGAGGAAATCTTATTTTGGATATAATAAAATATATATCGTGAGGATCTCATGATAGATTAATTAATTAATCTATTTTTGATTTGCGCCATGATTTTCGTCGAGATTCCCCTCCTAATTGCGGTCATAACGGCTCTTTTGTCCCTTGGCTCGATCTTGATCCCGGCCGATCTCGATCTTGATCGATCTCTGAGTCTTAGAGCTCGATCTTGGTCCCGATCTCGATCTTGATCGGTCGTTCGATCTCAATCCTGACAACATATACTTCGCACCATGTCTTGATATCACAATGATAATCCTCGGACCACCACGTTCCAATCTCGATTAGTCATACGAAGGACAAATTCGATTTTGACCGTATACAATTAGAAAAAAATTATTTTCTCTCACAAATATAATAACTTGTGAAAATAGTTGCAATATTGATAGTGATTGGATTCGCACCATGTCTCGATATTGATAGTGATTGCGATGATGGGCATTGGCTCGTGTAATCTAATTCATCGTTTGGATATCGGGATAAGAGATCATAATCTCGGATTTTAAGAAAAAATATTTTTATCTTTTTCCTTGCTAATATTATGTATTGTGAGTGAAATGTCAGAACGACACATGAATAATTGTACTTTTAATATATTTTCTGGAATAATTATACTTTTAAAATTAAAGTGCAGCTGTTTGGGTTATATTCATCGCTGATCTCTCTCAATGTGGTTTTCAAATTTAAATTTTTCTTTCTTCTTTTTACTGCACCTCTCCTTTAATTTGTTCGTTATCATCAGAACAATGTATGTATTACTCTTTAATCGGACTAAAAATATGAATTTGGTTCAAAAGTTTACGGAATCGGCCTATTCACTACTTATGTTTAAGCACGCTAGCTAGTCTCAAAATTAGAATTTGATTTACAAAAAAATTGACTATTCGATCGAGAGCTGGATATATATATATATATATATATATATATATATATACCCACACACTATATGCTCACCTTTAATTTGTTTATAGAACACCTAGTTATGTAAAGTATCTATAGATATCCTGAGCCAAGTAATTAATTCTTGGTGTTGTAGTAATTGGATGATTTGCACAGTAAATATAACATTTTAACCATAGATATTTTTTCTTTTTACTCAATTGAAGCTTGTATAATGTACCTCTCTCTGAGTGATTTGAGAGAGGGACCCTGAGGAGTCAACCTTGGGTATTAGAACTTGTGAAATTATACACTTAACTCAAAAGCAACCCTATTAATCTTTCATTGAAATTATTAAGTGCTCAAAGTTAACATTTCAAGATCTTTATATCTGACCTAGACTAAACTAGATATCGAACAAAAGTGAGCACAGATGAGAGGACCCATCTTCTCGCGTTCTTTTCTTCAGGAACAGAACACCATAGATGCACAGCACAAAAAACAAACGTATTCCCTAACATTGTAGAAATTGCTGAAATTTCTCAACTTAATTAGAACATTGAGAGCATGGATGTCCCAAACTTGTCCTTGGCTTCCTTGTCAAAGGGATCCTCACCTAAATACATGTAAATGTAGGCCCTGCACAGTAGTTTGTATTGGTAAAAATAAATATTACACGTGGAGTTAATTATATGGTTGACATGTCAAGGCACGTGGATCACTAGAAAAGAGACAGCTGGAGAGGAGCACTAAAAGAGACACGAGTCGCAGCAGATACGAACAAATCACCCACGAGGTGAAAAGAAATGGTTGCTCGAGTCTCTTTAAGTTATATGAAGAGGCACCGATGGAATGAACCAAGACAGTAAAAAGGGCAGATTCATGGATCTTCAATTAAAGATCGTGGATGATTACAAATGTTACAGAATCTTCACGAACAATTACGATTACCAATTATAACGTTTCATTAATGTCATTAATGCTCATAATGACTCGGTCTTAAAAAGAAAAAGACATTGTACTTGAAGACCTCTATATAAGGGAAAGAAATGTCATTTGTACAGATACGTTCTGATTATTGTTGGAATATAATTACTTGTACTTTCTATTGATTACTTTGTCATTTCTTATTCTAATTTACTTTCTTATTTCTGAGAGAATATTGAATTTATTGATTATCAGTAAACCTAGTACTTCTAAAAATAGGCTTTGACTGAGAATCTAATTCTTTGGTTAAACAAATTAGTTCCGTTACCGGGAATCTGATAATCTTCTCTTACTTTTCAAATCATTCTCTCTCAACTTGTCACGACCCAAAATCTAACTATGGTCGTGATGGAGCCTATCGTGTTACAAGGCAAGCCTATTTCCCAAAATATTACTACTAAATCGATTATAAGAATTTAATAAAATATTTCCAACATTTGAATTTTTCATAAACTAAATCAACTCTAAATATAATTATTGAAAATACTGAAACGAGTCCCAAACATCGGGGTGTCACTAAGTCATGAGCGTCTAAATCTATGAACTAAGAAGTAAAACTGTCTAACTCTCAATAGAGTCCAAAAGAAGAAATGATAAAAGGAGTAACAAGGTCCTGCGGACGCTAGCAACTACCTTACAGTCTCCAACGATAGCCGGCCTGAACTCAATGATCGCCGCGCTCTAACTCACCTGGATCTGCACATAAAGTGCAGAGTATAATATGAGTACAACTGACTCAGTAGTAACAGAAATAACTAAGGAACTGAGTAGTAGTGACGAGCTAAGTAGAACAATTCAATTATTTCTTTATCACAATTTAAAATAAACAGGAATAATCAGGTAAATTTCATCAACTCCATAAATGCTACAAAGAAATTAACGGGTAAAAATGTAGCAACAACAAAAGTAATGAATCCTCGTAGCAATGTCACTCCATCACTCGGCTCTCGGCACTCGCACTCAGCACTCAACACTCAATAGGTACCTGCGCTCACTGGAGGTGTGTACAGACTCATGAGGGGCTCCTACAGCCCAAGCGTTATAAGCACGAATAACTCACGTGCTGCACGGATAACTCACGTGCCCTCAGTCAAATACCTCACAACAGGCCATCGGCCTCACTCAGTCATGTACCTCTCTAGCCTCACTATCGTCAACAATTAAGGAAAATACAGTCCACGTCAAGTATCACAGTATATCAGCAAAATAATAAGGACTGAGGTAAACATGTACAATAATATCTATGACTGAGTGCAAATAATATGAGCATGAATAAAGCCTAAGCATGAGCTCTAACATGTAGGCAAACAAGTTCAACAACAAATAAACACATAACCACATATAATAGCCATTAGGCCTCACAGTCTCACTGGACAGACCAAGTCTCAATCCCTAGCGGTGCACACCCACACGCCCGTCACCTAGCGTGGGTATCACTTCCAAACAATCACGTGATGTCAAATCTCCGGGTTTATACCCTCAAAGCCAGAGTTAAAACTGTTACTTACCTTAACAGCATAAAATCCTACTTCGGGATGCCCTCGTCTCTAGACTCGATCTCCAAAAGCTCCGAATCTAACCAAAATCAGAATACTACTATCAACATAGGCTAAAGAATTGAATTCCACAATAAAAACTACATAAATAGGCCAAAAATCCGAAATCGGCCAAAACTTGGGCCCCGTGTCCACATCTCGAAACCAGTCAAAAATGGCAGAATAATAATTCTCGTGCTCTCCCGAGTCTAACCATATAAAATTCATCAAAATCGAACTCCGTTTGGTCCCTCAAATCCTCACTTAAAACTCTCCAAAACTCAAACCCTAACTCCCTCAATTTCACCCTAAACCCCTACTAATTTCATGGCTAATCAGTGAAAAAATATCATAAACGCGTGTAAATAAACCCAAGAGACTTACCTCACTGATGTCTCATGATTCTTCCTTGAAAAACACTGCCCCAAAGCTCAAAACCGTTCAACAATGGTGGAAAAAGGGCAAATATTCGCTAAGGGTTACTCTTATAGGTTCTGCCCCAGGGGTTCCGCACCTGCGACCCTCTTCTTCGCACCTGCGCAGCCGCACTTGCGGTCCCAGGTGCGCACCTTCGGACGTCACTTAAACGCCAAGCTTCGCGCCTGCGCAACCTCCTTCGCACCTACGGGCTCGCAGGTGCGACACTCCTTCCGCACCTGCGCCAACTGCCCAGCTGACCAATTCCGCATCTGCGCTCGAACCCTCGCACCTGCGATTCCGCAGATGTGGTCCAGCCTGCCGCTCCTGCGCCCATTTCCGCATCTGCGGTTGGTCCTCAGCTTCTGCGACCATCGCACATGCGGTCCCCACTTCGCAGGTGCAGCCACACCAGAACAGCAGCATCACGTGCATTTTCCAAACTCCAAACTTTCCGTTAGCCCTCCGAATTCATCCCGAGCCCCTCGGGACCTCAACCAATAATTCCAACAAGTCATATATCACTACTCGAACTTAGTCGAACCTCCGGAACACCCAAAACTACACCAAAACACCAAATCAACCTCGAATTCAAGCCTAAGAACTTCTAAACTTCCAAAATTCACCAACGACGTCGAAACATATCAAACCACGTCCGAATGACCTCAAATTTTGCACACACATCACAAATCACACTACGAACCTACTCCCACTTCCGAAATTTCATTCCGACCCCGATACCTAATTTTCCACTGCCGGCCAAAATCGCCAAATTTCTAACTTTCGCCAATTCAAGCCTAATTCTATCACGGGCCTCCAAATTACATTCCGGACACACTCTTAAGTCTAAAATCATCCAACGAAGCTAACTGAATCATAAAAATCCACATCCGAATTCGTTTACTCATAAGTCAACTTCCGGTTGACTTTTCTAACTTAGCTTTCTAACTAAGAGACTAAGTGTTCATTTCATTCCAAAACTACTCCGAACCCAAACCTACCAACTCGATACAACTCAATACAACTGAAAAACACATAAATAAGCAGAAATGGGGAAAACGGGGCTACAACTCTTGAAACGACCGACCGGGTCGTTACACAACTGAATCATGTCGAATGTCAATGATAACAACCAGCAGGTGGAAGGAACTCCAGTTTCGTCACCTCAAGGAACCCCACGCAATTCAAAAGAAGCATCACCAGAAAGATCCACTACTCATAACAATGAATAACATGGAAATGAACAAACTGTCGAGCAGGATGCTGTGAAGCAGTTAATTACTGAGTACGTGAATGATGCTCTTCATGCTTTCGTGAGGGGACTACCAGTTGTGCCACCCATACCTCCACCAAATAATATTGTGACTGTGGAAATTCGACGATCAGGTTTGGCTAATTTTGGAAGTAGAGGAACTCCCAACGAGTCACGTGATGGGAGACCAGGTACGCCTAATAATTCTGATTTACAAACTTTAATATTAACCTTGCAAAAACAGGAAAAAGAAGAAAATGACTGTATTGAGCAAATACCCGGCGTACCACCTGTGATCAAAGGAGTTGATTTCGACAAATATTCACAACAACCATGGAAACCAAGCGCAGCTCCATTACTAATTCCCCAAAAGTTCAAAATACCTGACATCCTGAAATATGATGGAACGACCGATCCACGTGACCACGTTACTGCATTCACCATGGGAGTAAAAGGCAATGATTTAACCAAGCAGGAGATTGAATCTGTGCTGGTCAAAAAGTTTGGGGAAACACTTACTAAAGGAGTGTTAACATAGTATTCTCTTTTACATAAAAATTCTATTGACTCTTTTGCTGAGCTTGCAGATCTATTTATAAAAGCACACTCAGGTGCATAAAAAGTTGAAAAGAGAATGGAGGATATATTCAAAGTAAAGCAAGGAGATACAGAATTGCTTCGAGAATTCATAGACAGATTCCAACGTGAAAGAATATTGCTACCAAGAGTACCTGATAATTGGTCAGCCATGGCATTTGCAAGTAATTTAAACGAGAAAAGTTCAGAAGCTACGAGGAGGCTTAAAGAGAGCCTACAAGAATTCCCTGCCATGACATGGAATGATGTTTATAATTGGTACAGTACCAAGTTACGGATCGAAGAAAATATCGTAGCTCAGTCAAGGGTTGAAGAAAAAACAGGTTCGAGGCGGTCAGAATCTGAGAAGAGGTCCGATAAGAATAGGTACGAGCCTTATATGGGACCTTCGGGGTGAGAAGCTCGTTCCAAATTCAAAAACGCGCAGGCTGATCAGAGGCTCGCAAATAGAGATTCAGGTTTGTCATCGTCGAGATTCAGAAAAGATCGAGGTGAACGTAACAGAGATGCTAATACAAACGCAAGGATTGGGGAGTACAATTTTAACGTGAGTACCTCCGAGTTGGTCGCGGTTTTAAGAAGCATGGGGGATAAGGTACGATGGCCTAAAGAGATTAGATCAAATCCAAATAGGAGAAACCCAGAGTTTTGGTGTGAGTTCCATAATGATCACGGCCATAGAACATCAGACTGTAGATTATTACAAGGTGAGGTGGAACATTTATTGAAGCAGGGCTATCTGACGGAATTGTTCAGCGAGAAAGGCAAACAAGCTTACATGAAAAATAGGCAAGAGCCCCCAAAACCTCCGTCTCCAAAGAGAACAGTAAATGTGATAAACGGCGGAGAAGAAGTCAACGGCGTAACCTATATAGCCGCGAGAAAAACAACAAAGTTCACAATAACTCACGGGAAGTAAACTCGCCAAACTTTGGAAGACGGCAACATAACCTTTGATGATGCAGATGTCGATGGATTAATGATTCCTCACAACGATGCACTGGTAATATCTTTACTTATACATGATACTAATGTAAAACAAGTTTTGATTGACCCAGGTAGCTCTATGAATATCATTCTTTTACGAGTGGTAAACGAAATGCTGATGGGCGATCGTGTAGTTCCAAAACCACGCTCCTTATATGGGTTTGATAACTCACCATTATTATAAAGGGCGAGATTGAACTAAGCACATACGCAAAAGGGGTCATCAAAGAAATAAAATTTTAAGTGATAGACACGGATATGGCCTATAATGTGATTCTTGGAAGGCCGTGGATTCATGATATGGATGTTGTGCCATCCACATTACATCAGGTTATCAAATTACCTTCAAAACGGGAAATTCAACAGATCCGAGGAGATCAACAAACTTCAAGAAGCATCAATTCAGTGATACAGTCAAGTAAAAAAGATACGAATGCAAGTCAAAAAGATACGAGTGCAAGTCAAAAAATGCGGGTACAAGTGAGAAAGATGTGGTAAATCAAATTTCAACAGAAATTGTATCAAAACAAACAGTCGTGGACTCCAGACCAGATGTAATTCAAGAGCCAGAGGAGAACAAAAATATTAAAACAACGATTGAGGAGCTTGAAGTTGTTCCACTATTCGAACAGTGGCCAGATCGAAGAATTCATATCAGAGCAAGGTTAAACCCATATATGAGAGATAAGTTAATTAAATATTTAAAAGCTAATGCGGATTGTTTTGCATGGTCCCATTCAGATATGACAGGTATACCTCCGGAGGTGATCACTCATAAATTAAATGAAGATCCATCATTCATATCTGTCAAACAAAAGAAGAGGAAGCAAGGATCATTCAAAAATCAAGTGATCGATGAAGAGGTACAGAAACACTTAAAGATCGATTCAATACGCGAGGTAAAATATCCTAATTGGTTAGCTAATACTGTGGTAATTCCGAAAAAGAACGGTAAATGGAGAGTTTGTGTGGATTACACTGACTTAAATAAAGCATACCCAAAGGATTCATTCCCTTTACCGCATATAGATCAATTGATTGATGCTACCGCAGGCCACGAATTATTAAGCTTTCTAGATGCGTATTCTGGTTATAATAAAATAAAAATGGACCCCTTAGACAAAGAAAAAACTTCATTTATTACAAACAGGGGGACTTATTGTTACAAAGTCATGCCTTTTGGCTTGAAAAATGCTGGAGCCACGTATAAGAGGTTGGTGACCAAGATGTTCCAAGAACACCTGGGGAAGACGATGGAAGTGTACATTGATGATATGTTGGTTAAATCTACATAAGCGGAAGATTATTTTCAACATCTTTCAACTACCTTCGAGATCCTCCGCAGATATAATATGAAACTGAACCCAGAAAAGTGCGCTTTTGGCGTAGCTTCAGGTAAGTTTCTAGGCTTTCTCGTATCTAATAGAGGAATTGAAGTAAATCCTGCACAAATTAAAGCTATTGAAGAAATACCTAATATACTCACAAGCAAAAAAGGGGTACAAAGATTGACAAGTAGGATTGCAGCTTTGGGAAGATTCATTTCAAGATCTTCAGAGAAAAACGTTAAATTCTTTTTAGTATTGAAGAAGCAAAATCAGTTTGAATAGACTGAGAAATGCCGACAAGCCCTCAAAGATTTGAAGGCATACTTAACAAATCCTCCCCTACTGTCTAAACCAAGGGATGGAGAAAGACTATTTGTATATCTTGCAGTTGCAGAAGTAGCTGTAAGTGCATTTTTAGTAAGGGAGGACAAAGGTAAACAATCTCCTATTTATTATATTAGTAAATCTTTATTAGATGTTGAAACTAGATATCCTCATCTAGAGAAACTAGCCTTAGCATTAGTCATGACAGCTAGGAAATTGAGAACATATTTTCAATGCCATCCTATCTCCATAGTAACTGCATATCCATTAAGGAATATTTTACATGAACAAGAATTGACAGGCAGACTAGCCAAGCGGGCAATAGAACTAAGTGAATATGACATTATTTATCAACTAAGAACAACAATAAAGTCTCAAGTTTTAGCAGATTTCATTGTAGATTTTAATACAAAAATAATTCTTGAAGTAGAAAAGGAATTACAAATTTTTACTGGAGCTAATCCAGGTACGTGGACTTTATTTACTGATGGCTCTTCAAATGTCAAAGGAGCCAGTTTAGGTATTGTCTTAATCCCACTCTCAGGTGAAAGTATAAGACAAGCAATTAAATATTACCCTATTACTAACAATGAAGCAGAGTATGAAGCTGTAATTGCAGGTTTGGAACTAGCACGAGAACTCTCCATAAAGCAAATCATGATTAAAAGTGACTCTCAACTAATAGTCAATCAGATGCAGGGGACTTACACTGCTAGAGAGGCACGAATGCAACAATACTTGGAAAATGCACGAGAACTGATAACCAGGAAAGAAAACGCAGAAGCAGACGCGTTAGCTAACCTTGCTTCAGATGCAGAAGTAACGAATGAAGAAAATGCTATTATAATACATTTATTTCATTCAGCACTTGACCATGATAAACATGAGGTAAGCTTTGATAATTTAACCTGGGATTGGAGAAATGAGATTGTTAATTTTTTACAGTACGGGATCGTACCTGAAGGCAAGAAAGTATCTCAAGTGCTTCGACAAAAAGTTGATTGTTACTGCCTAATTCGAGATAATTTATATCAAAAAATATTTGGCGGTCCTTTAGCAAGGTGCCTTGGACCCAATCAAACGGAGTACGTGATGAGGGAAGTACATGAAGGACATTGTGAAAATCACGCAGGTGGAAGATCTTTAGTTAAAACACTAATCAGGGCAGGATACTACTGGCCTAAAATGGAAGAAGATGCGAAAACTTTTGTAACCAAATGTGATAAGTGTCAACGATATGCCAACAATATGCATCGACCTGCAGATTTATTACATACAGTTATTTTCCCATGGCCATTTATGAAATGGGGAATGGATATAGTAGGGTATTTATCACAAGCTAAAGGAAAGGTACAGTTCTTATTAGTGTTAGCAGATTACTTTTCAAAATGGGTAGAGGCAGGAGCTTTCAAACAGGTACGAGAAAAGGAGGTGAAAGACTTCATTTGGCGAAACATTATATGCCGGTTTGGAGTTCCAAAAGAAATCATATGTGATAATGGCCCACAATTTATAGGCTCGAAAATCACGAAGTTCTTTCAAAGTTGGCAAATCAAACGAATAACCTCTTCACCTTACCACCCTATGGCAAATGGACAAGCTGAGTCAACAAATAAGATTATCGTCAATAATTTGAAGAAGAGACTAGAAAAATCAAAAGGGAATTGGCCTGAAGAATTACCAGGAGTGTTATGGGCTTATAGAACCACAACAAAAACAGCCACGAGAGAAACTCCATTTTCGCTTGTGTACGGTTCAGAAGCTTTAATCCCAGTTGAAATAGTAGAACCAAGCACGAGATTCACATTGGCAACGGAATAATCAAACGATGAGGAATTAGGAACAAACTTGGACTTACTCGAACAAAGAAGAGAAGCAGCTTTAATACGGATGGCAGCACAAAAGCAAATCATAGAACGATACTACAATAGAAAGGCTCACCTCAGGTACTTCAAAATTGGGGACTTCATTCTTAAAAAGGTTTTCCAATCAATGAAAACAACCGGAGCAGGAAAGTTAAATCCAAATTGGGAAGGACCCTATAAAGTTCGAGGTATCGCTGGAAAAGGTACTTATGAGTTAGAAACCATGGATGGCAAGGTTTTACTCTCGAGTTGGAATGCTGTTCATTTAAAGAAATACTATTTCTGAGCAAAAGAAATACCCACGGTCAGGTATCGTTTAATTACGATTTTTGTTTTGTACAGTTAAAATTATACTAACAATTTTAGATGATAGGCAAAAAGCTAGCCCACACCAAATGATGATATTAGACCCGAAAGATACGCGGAAGCAACATTATTCTCGGTCTAGGGTTGCAACCTTTCTGATGGAAATATAAAGGGTTAAGCAGTCATTATCTAAATTATATATACCTCCGAGTCCCGTATGTTTTTTCTTTTCAGGAAATGGACCACATAGAAGGAATAATCAAGTGCTCGAGATTTCATACTTCAAAGC